CCAGGGATTTCCATTTTTTGTTCATACATTATTTTCCCCCCAAGCATGAGATATTTTTATAGTAAAAAAAAAAAATGAAGATTGTAATGTTTCCTTCTGAACCAAATGAGAAAACCTGAAACAATGACAGAGAGAGGGATTTTAATTCCTTCTCATCTGAATAAGGAGAGCCACAACCACCGAAAGAAGTTTGATTTGAAGTAAACTCCTCAGTGCGATTCTACTAATTTTTTCCCCATAATACATTAGTATCCACCCCTCACTAAATAATGAACTGTCTACATGTTCTTATCTGGCAAGGAAAATCCAGGCTTGTAAAAAGGGTCAATTCTCCTTAACTTGTGCTGGGACCTGGGAATGAAATAAGATCTGAGCTCTGCCTCTGGAATGTGGCCCAAAGAATGTGAGATTACACTAGAAAGACTCTTATTTGGTATCTGTCTTTTCAGACAGGGGAATAATCAATTTGGAAAAACGACTAAACATTTATAAGGACAACTAGATTTTACAAGCACCAGCTTCTCTAGATAAATTCATGTCACTGTGTGCTGTGCATATCATGGCCCAGAGCACTTAGAGACTGGAAGTAAAGCATATATTGGTATTTGAGGAGTCTTAGAGAACAAGCAATGCTGAATGTGTTGAGACAAGCAAATGCCATTCCATTTTCCGATTTCTGCAAATCTAACACCTATAAGTTTGATCTTGCCTCAGAAAAAGATCCTTTGTGAACCCCTAGAAAAAGACAGAACATAAGACCAGTTAAACCAAGTTGTGTCAAAGAGCTAGATTATTGACCAATGAAAATGAATAGAACATGAATCTGGATTTCAGCAGGATAATTGAAAAGGACTCTCAACTTATGAAAAGAGTGCAGAAGCATGGACTGATTTCAATGACAAATGCCAAGATATGCTCATTTCCAATGACAGCTTCTTTCTTCATACATTTATAATAATCACTTGACCTCAGATGCAAGCTGAGACTCTGGATAAGAGATGTACTAGGGGCGCCTGGGTGGCTCAGTCGGTTAAGCGGCCGACTTCAGCTCAGGTCATGATCTCGCGGTCCGTGAGTTTGAGCCCCACGTCGGGCTCTGTGCTGACAGCTCGGAGCCTGGAGCCTGTTTCAGATTCTGTGTCTCCCTCTCTCTGACCCTCCCCCGTTCATGCTCTGTCTCTCTCTGTCTCAAAAATAAATAAAGTTCTTTAAAAAAAAAAAAAAAAAAAAAGAGATGTACTAGAGAGGAAGTTGAGCAGACAGCTTGGGGCAGATCCACTGGATAGTATTTTCTGCAGATACTCAAAGCATGTGGAGTTTTCTAGGGAGGAGGCACTATGGTTAACTTAGACTTAAGTTAAAGAGCCATATATCTGAAGTCAATATCAAATGTGAACCTGAAGAACTCTCTCTTCCATGCAATTGAGGTAAAGACATCAGCACTCCTGTGATAGGAATATGAACTTAGCAACAGGCATGCCAAGGCAAGGAGCAGGGGATATCAATATAGGGACCAAGAAATCATTTGAGGAGTTACAGAAGTATCCCCTACAGGAGGACAGATGCCCCCTCACCTCACTTACTCATAAAATCCCAGAAAATTTTCTGGTCAGGGCTGAGATATCTAACTTAGAGAATAGTATTTGATGACCTCATCACACAGACATGATCCAGGGGAAATACGGACTATAGTCAAAAGAGCAGGATGATTTCTCTGGGCAGGTTAGAAAATAACTAGGCCTTGACTTAGGTTCTGATCATGCCCTTTTTAAAGGAATATTGGATAATTGAAAAGTGTTTTGAAGAGAGCAACTGTCCTGGGAATGGAACTGGAATTCAAATCACATCATGAAGAATGGAGGTATCTGGTCATAATTATCCCAGAGAAAATATCTTTGGGAGAAAGGAATGCCCCAGTGTAACTGAATATGGAAATATCTGTCTGCAGAAGACATATCTTCTGTTGGCCTTGTAGAATCAAAGAACAAGACCAATCATGGGAGCTCTAAATATTAATTTAGGCAAAAATAAGTGAAAGCTCACTCTTGGAGCCACCCAGAGAAGCAGTGTTTCCTTGGGAGATGGTCAAGCAAACATAGATTCAAATAAAAGTAATAGGAATGTCACAGAGTGATTGTGTAAATAAATGGCCAATTTATTGGCAAGATTCCTTAAGCTATAAGGATTTGATGAAGTCAATGATACTCAGGCGTCATTGTCCTGAATTTTGACCAAGGCACCAGTCAGATTAGAAAACCTACTCCTCACAGTGGCTTTGCCTCTAATGTCATTCTTCTCTTTCCTCCTTCAAAAAGTTTAGCTGCTTTGAAGTTCACGCCATCAGATTTACCACCATTACCCTACCTTTTGGAGAAATTATAGCTTTCCCTTTCACAAGGTCTGCAGATCTAGAACTGTACTTTGAAGCTGCACTTAAGGCATCATGCCTAAGGAGATTAGTCCACACTTGCACCTGATTTCAGTGACGAGATTCTGGACTTAGAGCTTATGGTATAATAATATGAGATCTGGGAGGACCCTAGGAAGGAGTGAATGCATTTAGTACGTGAATCACTAGGGGGCTAAAAAGCAGAGTGCAGTAGGCAACCTTTAAGATGACTTCCAATTATCCCCACCTCCTGGTATTCATGCCTTTGTGTAATCCCTTTCACTTGAGTGTGGGCTGGATTTCCTGACTGGTCTCTAATGAATAGAGTACCATGAATGTGGTGGGATGTCATTTCCAAAATGAGGCTATAAAGGATGTGTGACTTTCGTACCATGTGCTCGTTGTCTCCCTCTTGGACCACTTGCTCTGGGAGAATCCAGCTGTTAGGCCATGAGGACTATCAGCCAGTGTATGGAGAAGCCCATGTGGCAAGAAAATGATACCTCTGGCCAACAGCCACGTGAGTGAGCTTGGAAGTGTGTCCTTCCCTAGCCAAGCCCCATAAGGACTGCAGCCCCAGCCAACACCTCAGCAACTGCCTCATAAGAGAATCTGAGCTAGACATGCCTAGCTAAGCCACACCTGGATTTCTAAATCACAGAAGCAGTGAGATAATCAATGTTTGTTGTTCTCTGCCACTAACTTTTGGAGTCACTTGTTATGCAGCAATAACTACTATAATGAAACAGGTCATGTATCAAAATGCAATAAAACATTATAGTTCTAAATTCTTAATAATTAGTCAATTTAATTCTTGATAAAAGTCATTCTTAAAAGCAATAGTGAAGGAGAAAAATAAATGGTGTGATTTTACATAGTATATGTCAATTTTTAAATTTATCTAAACTCTAGGTATTGTCTAAATACTTCATAAATACTAGTCATTGTTTTATCTTTACATAAACATTAACTCAAAGTGTACACAAGGTTGTATCTGAGTAGGGACAAATGTAAATGTTTTGGAGCTGGAGAAGGGTACAAAAAGGACTTCAACTTTTTCAAAAATGTCTTATTTCAATTGTGGGGTTTTTTGGGGGAAGATCCAAAGTAGATATAAGAAAATGTCTGAGTGGTGGTTGTCTGTAATATTTTTCTCAAGACTTCCCTGTATTTTGCTCCCCTATCTGGGACATAAATGAAAATAAAGATTTAGTTATAAGCATGTTCAGGCTCTGCAGAACATTGTTTATAATAAGAGGTTCAGATGTTTTATGGACAAGTTCTAGCAAACCTAAAAGGATCTAATAAATGCTCAGTTATTTAAACTGTTGCCAAGTATAGGAAGAGATACACCATTTCCCAAGACACCTTTTACACTTGCGGTGTTGGAAACGTGCAGTTTGCCTGTTGGCAGGCGGCCAGTGTAAAACACTTGCCAGTACAACAGAGAAATCCACAATTGGAAAGATAAAGAGAATAACACACATTTAGCTGGGTCAAAAACTATTGCAAAATGGAGTTTGAAATTCCAGCTATGTCAAGAATTCTGGTATTAGTAAGCAAATTGTTTAAGGAGATGTAATTTCTTAAACTTACAGTGTAAGAAATATTGTGGACAGTTCTGTCCGGGACCGAGGTAAGATGCATCACGCTCTCCAGAGCCTCCTGCTTCTTCTAGCGTCACTGAAATCTCCATGGAAGATGTGGGAGAGAGGATTTAAATGGGCCATCCATTAAAATGTCATTTCTAGAAGACATTCCATCTATGGTAATTCTTTTGCAGTATCGAGGTCCCTCTCTTCTTCCGGCTTTTCATTTCCTTTTTGGACTTCAGTTGCAAATAACTGAGTTAATTCTATTCCTTATGGCACATTATCACTTTTTGTCCTTGCAAGGCTTCAGTCCTATTTTTTCTTTACGTACTTATATACAAATTAATTTAACTCCTGTTCTCCTTATGCCCCATTATCTTCCTACAGGCAGCTATTTTATTCTGTTTGGAGTATATTCTCCACCAAAAAGCCTTCAAACTTCTTCCCCACTGTCGGCTCTCCTTGATCTCTAGCCTGCAGATCCATACTACAGATTTGGACATACCAGCCTCCAAAATCACGTGAGAAAATTCCTCTTATTACATCTCTTTATATCTATCCTACTGGTTCTGCTTCTCTGGAGAATCAGACCTAGAAATACCTCATGGAAGGAATCACTGCTTGCTGCCTACCCACCCTCCCAGTAGTGGACACAGATTCCTTTAAAATCTTTTAAAATCTATATGATCACAGAAATGTCACAGTGAGCATCTTCACATGTGTTCCTTCATGGACCTGTGTAGGAATGTTTTGAGTTTCAGACCTAAATCATTTCACAGACCCAGAGCCTTTGACGAAAGGGGAAGCCAGATCCCCTCGGAGAAGGATTTTACATCATTGCCACAGATACACTCTGCAAACCTCCTTGTAATCTTTCTCCGAAAGAAAACCAGTCCAACCATTTTTCAAATGTTTAGATTTGATAATTACATATGAGGAATACTCACTCAGATGTTATCTTAGACTGTTATTAAAACTGTCTCTTCAAATGTCAAAGACATAAGCAAACAAACAACAAAAAATTTCTAATTTTACATTTTATTAAATTGGCCATTAGGTGAATGATCATTAAAACCAGTTTTAAGTGAATTAACCCTTAGCTATTCTCGTTGCCCCAAACCTATGTTTATTTTAACCCGTGGCTTCCCTGGACCATTTCTGTCTTTGGCTTCCCAAGTCTGTTCACTGTGGGGAAACGAAGGCCACTCAGCTCAAAAGAGCTTTTGGTGGTATAAAGGTTGGAAGCCAGGGGATTATTTGCCCTTTCTCCCTTCCAGATTGAGCATCTATAATTGCAGACACCAGCCACCCTTGCAGACCAAGGGCAACCACTAACTTAGAGGACCCAAGGTCATCGTGTTCAAATGTGACCTGAAGGAAATCTATGAAGAGGTGTACTGAAAGGAATGAAAGCATTCTGAGAGTTTTATTCATTATGCCCCACCATTCACATTTTTATTAGCAGTTGGCAGCAAAGGAGTCTTTTTAAAGACCTGGCTACATCAAAACAAAAGAGAGAGAGAGAGAGAGAGAGAGAGAAAAGAAATACTGGAGAGAAGGCTTTGCTGAGGTGAAATGAATTGACAACATGAGGAGATGTGAGCCATAGAGAGGACCATGCCTGCTGAAATGTCCTCCTTGGTAAAGAAGGATCTCTTAGTGGCTGAACAAGTCCCCTCATCAGTGCCTGGAGAGAATGTGGGGCTCGACTCAGAATGAAGTTAGCCCACAGATAGCATTTGTGCTCAGCAGGAAGAGGGCACCATAGGGTGGCTATGCACTTGTTGATAGTGGCAGACCTCAAAGGAGCTGTGAAGGGTGCTCCATCAGCGAGGTGCTGTCTTACAGACGTTGGACTCATGGCTGGGTTGGCAGGAAGTTGGCAAGCAGGTGCTGGTTTTGCAGACACTTGGGGCAGTTGGTTGGAGACCATTGCAGCCACTGCCAGATGATTTGCCTAAACCTGTTACACAGCAAGCTGGTTGGCAGGAAGGGGGTGTGCAGCCACCTTGGTTGCAGGAAGTGGATCCATCCCAAGTTGGTTGGCTGGAAAGCACGGTGCCACAGGAAACTGGTTTACAAGGGTTCTTTACAGAACATAGGGGCTGGCAGTTAGCCACTGGCTGGCAGATGAAAGATATGGAAGGAGCTGGTTGGCAGCAAAGCGACCAGCAAGGGGACGATGCGTAGCATGTAGGATTGCAAGAGCTGAACACACAAGTTGATGGCTGGCAGGGAACAGGCATGCAGGGAACTGATGGGCAAGTCTTGAAAAGGTAGCAGATGGGTTGGTAATAAGTTAATTTGCAGGTCTGATCTTCACCATTGATGTGTTGACATGAACCTGGTTGACAGCAAGTTAGCTGACATGGACTGGCTGCACAGATGGTTGGTGGGCAAGAATTTTCAGCACAGGAATTTACCTCAGAGCAGGATGGCTGTTGGGACCTAGCGTCACAGGAGACCAATTGGCCACAAGCTGATCTGGACACAAGGATAGGTTCTTGGCAGGAGCTTTGCTGGTCGAGGATGGCTTCACAGCAATTTGCCTGACAACTGGTGGGTTCCAAGCAGGAGGGTTCCAAATAAGGAGACTGACCAGTTCCAGATTCATAGCAGGCTGTGCGGGAGCAAATGGGTTGGCAGGCAAAGCCAACACAAGAAGTTGCCGGAAGGCAGGTAGGTTGGCAGCAAGCAGGTTCACAGCCACTTGGTGCACTGCTGGATGGCTGACAGTTTTCTTGGCAGGTGACCAGCTGCCAAGTTCTGCTCCGGCAGGAACTAGGCAAACAGATACCGTTTTGGAAACTGCCACCATTTGAGCACGTGAAGGTGGGCACAGGTGGAATGGCCGTGGTGGTTCCGGGGCAGCAGCTGTCCACCATGGTGCTGATGTGAAGCTCGCTAGGGAGTTGCAAACTCCGTATACCTGGGTGTGAAAGATATCTCTTATAGGGGCTTTTATAGCTCTTCAGGGGTGTTGGTATGACTTAGAGCATCTTTCCTTGTTATTGTTTCTACTCATTTGTATACAAACATCTGATTAGTAGGCTTCGGGAGCCTGGAAGATATTGTCCCCAGTTTAAAAACTTGTCTGTTGAGTTGAGAGTTTTCTTTGTCGACTTTGGATTCGTTGATGCTGCTCCTGCTCTGGAATGAGCTGTCTTTTTTACAGGTTGCTCTCCAGCCTCCCTGAAGTGGGCCTTTCCCTGTGCTAACCTCTCATCAGAAGGCCTCAGCCCAGCCAAAGCAACCTGCTCTTCCACCAGGAATGCAGTTCTGCACCATTTAGACAATCAGGAAATGAAGCCTTGACCCAATTGAAAGAGGGCGATGTCTGAGATGGTGAACCAGGCAGTACATCCCAAGGACACTTCAGTGTCTCCACCTCTTTCTAGAACCTTCCCATTTGGCTTTCCTGAAACCCAACTTTATTAGTAATACTAATACTAATACTAATACTAATACTAATACTAATGGCTTCCATTCCATTTATAGCATACTTACTATATACCAAGCCCTTGACTGCATTTTTCATTGAATCTTTGCAATGGTCCTTATTAGTAGCTACAATTCCCACTGCTATCTTAGAGGTAGCAAAACTAACTCAGAGAGTTTAAATCCTATTTCTCCAAATTATGCAAGTAATAAGAGGTTGAAACAAGATCCAAACCTAGTTGGGACTGACCCCCAAACCTTGGATTGTAATCACCTATTAGACCTCCTGACTTTGGAGTGGAGGAGAAAGACTGTGATATAGTGATTGAAGACTGACCTTAGTACAACAGCGCACTGGCTAGTGGGCAGGTGGCCAGGCCCCTTGCTGGGGACCATTTGCCCATTAGTGACTAGAGTCATCAACTAGATTAAACTGGTATGAATACTTACCTCCACTTATCCATACACCCAAAGACATTCTTTTAATTTGGAAATTTTAATAACTGCAAAGTATTTTCCCAAGGATTAAATCAGCCTCTTCCAAGAGGGGCTTATGAGGTGCTGGTTGTACTGATTCTTCCCGTCTTTTTCTAGATTTGTCAAGGCTCTGCATTACTGGCCAACTTCAGCAACCCACATCATTCCCTGTCCTGACCTGGTTCACACCAGAAATTCATGACAGAATAGAAAGATCATGGCCTTGGGATCCCAATAGGGTAGAGTTTCATTTTTGGGCTCTGCTACTAACGCATTCCACGGGAAAAGATGACTCATTACCCACGTGTGCAAAGTACCAAGAGTTTACCAACTAACTGCATTGCTGTTGTTCAAGTTATTTTTACTCTTTTTTTTAGTCTATTTATTATTTATTTTGAGAGAGCAAGTGGGGGAGGGGAAGAGAGAGAGGGAGAGAGAAAATCCCAAGCAGGCTCCCCGCTATCAGCACAGAGCCTGACACAGGGCTCAAATTCATGAACCATGAGATCATGATCTGGGAAATCCTCACCCTTGTCATTAAAATGCCTTTTTTTTTAACCATTGCTTTTTGTGTTACAGCCCCGATCACTCCTTTTGCCATCCAACTCATCACTAATCATTTTGGCACCTTGCAAACTGCAAAGATCACTGCGCTGTTTTATTCCTGAAGGTCTACATCCCAAAGCTCTCCATCTTTCAGGAGAAATACTTCTGGTCTTACCAAATAGATCAGATAATGGGAACATGAATATATTTGAGAAGCCATGTCAACTTCTCTCTGAAAAAGGTACCAATGTCCTGTGCTCATTCATACCACTTTTATTGTTTTTAAAGTAATCGATTTTAACATCCATCTTTCTCTGATTCTGCTCTTGCCTTTTTTTCTCCTAAAGAAACTTCTCAATAGGTTGGTACAAGGTACAAACTTTCAGCTATAAGATGAATAAGGTCTGAGGATCTAATATATAACATAGTGACTCTAGTTAATAACACTGTATTACATAATCGAAATTTGCTAAGAGAACTTAAATGTTCTCACATCCCCAGAAATGTGAGGTGATGGATGTGTTAGTTGATTAGATAGGAGGATTCTTTTCACTATATATGTGTGTATCAAATCATCACAATTTACACTTTAAATATCTTGCAATTTTGTCAGTTATACCTCAATAAAGATGAAAAAAAGGTATCTCTCAATAGGGAGACCTTTCACTTTGCTATGGCAAGGCACTAAAGACATCGAATGTATCACCAAGGGCTGTTGTGATCACAGCAAGAGACATGGTGATGTATAAAAAACACAAACTTTGGACTGAACCGTATGTTCTGTATGTTATTTGTATGTTACATGCATTTATGTTGTATGTTACTCTTGTATGTTACTTTCTAGCTGTGACTGTCCTGAATTTTGTGTTTAGCATTCCCCTGTGAATATACATATGGCATATATGTGTAAGTGTGTATACATGTGCATATGTATACATGTGTGTATACTCATACATGTGTGTGTGCATGTATGTGTGTGTGTTGTTTTTCAGCTTTAAATATATATGTGGTCTGGAGGCTTGTTTGTATCAACTCTACACTGGTCAGGTTCACCCCTGTTTTACATATGGCCATTGTCTAGTTTTCATTGCAGCATAGTATTTATTGAGTGAATATACCACAATGTTCTTGTCTCTATTGATGGGCCCTTGGATTGTTTGTCACTCATATTCTTCATCTTGTAAAATAGAGAGAAAAGCATCTTATTTCACAGAACTGCTATGATTTGCATGAAACACTGGGTCTGTGCTTGGGACAGAGATTTTAAAGCCCTGGCCCACTCCTCTCTTGACTCTGGAAGGAGATGGAGATAAATCTCAATAGGCTGATGAGACAGTACCCCTGACAGCAACATGCAGGATAAGTTCCACCTTTGAGATTCTCCCTCTGCTGCTGTCTCATCCAGAAGTTCTCAAACAGGGATGATTTTTGCCCCTCATCCCCAGGGGTGTTTGCCAATGTCTGGAGACATTTTAGGTTGCCACACTCAGGGGATGCTACCAGCATTTAGTTGGTGAAGTCCAGAGATGCTGCTTAATATCTTACAATGTTAAAGAATGATGCCCACAAGGAAGAATTATTTAGCCCAAAATGTCAATAGCACTGAAGTTCAGAAACCCTGCTCTACCCTCTCTTGTGCTTAGGTTAGCCCAAGATGCACCTTGAGGACTAGACATAGCCCCTCATTCTGTGCCCTAAGAGACTACTCCGAAGAGACTCTGTCCTTAGGATTGTAAGAGGCTGTGTATGAAGTTTACACAAGGATTGTGCCTTACAGAGACTAGGAGAATATAAATAAAGCTCTTGCACAGAAAAAATCCAGTTGTCTTTCTTATTGTACATGTGACCTCCCACTTATTTTCATTCCACTGTGAACCCCAAAGTCAACTGGCTTGCTCCCCAGTTTCCCTATATCCAAGTCCATGCTCCTCCATTCATTTCTCTACACCAAGGCCAGAGGGACATTCCAAAACTAAGTGTTCTTCATGTCACTGCTCTATATCTGGCCCCCCCAGTGCTTTCATGTCAACCGTGCACCAAACGAAAATGCCTCTGTATAGATTACAAGGCCCGATGGGTCCAGGTCACTACTGTCTACTTAACTGACCTTAGAACTCACCATGCCTCCAAGCACACCTCTGCCCAAGCCTCAGTAACGAACAGTGTGCTCACAAGCCCCATTTGTGTATATGTTTCCTCTGCCTGGAAAGCTCTTCCTTTCTGATTTTGGCCTGGTCCATTCTTATTTGTGCTGAAAGACCCAGCTTCAATTTCACATTCCCCAAGAATTCTTTCCTATCTCTCCCCGTACCCTGCTGAGTTCAGAATGCCCTGTGCTTGCCTCTGTCCCAGTACTTAGCACAACAGAACGTAGTAATTGTCTCTCTGCCTGTCTCTCCCCATCCCCACTCCAACAGTGAGCTCCCTTAGAGCAAAGGCTGACTTCTCAGTCCTACAGCCTACCACAGTCCCCAGCCAACAGCTGTCTAATGAAGCGTGTTGGAAGGATGGATGGATGAGTGGATGAAGTTTCTGTCAAAATAAGTTAGCTGATGAGAATATGAATATTAACAACAGCACAATGAGAATAACATGCCACTTCAACTTAGCCACTTTATTGGACAGTGAAATATCTTTTTCTCATGGAAGATGTCTCCAAGGAACATGAGCACACCCAGCAAGGCAACACAGGCATGAGGACAGAAAAAAACCTAACGCTGGGGAAGAGACTCCAGATGACGTGGCGAAGCAGCTCTTCTCAGCTTGATGGCAGCAGCGGGCAGGAGCTCAGGATGATTCCCCCTCTCAGTGCCCAGGGGGCCTGCATTTGGACCATTAGGATACTGAAATTTCTGGTGAGTTTTTTGAAGTGTAAGAAGATGGTGAGTGATGGTGAAGAAAGATTCTAAGTCGTTGTGAGCTTTGGGGCGGGCAGTCGAGGTTTCTCTCCAGCTGGAGGTTTGCTTTGCAGGAATTGGTGGGCTGAGGCCAGATCAGTGGTCGGCAGGCTTGGTGGCAGTAGGCGGGGTGGCTTCAGCCTCACGGGTGGTTGGGCTGGTGGGTTTGGCCTCAGTGGGCTGGCAGGGACTGGAATCTGAGACCTCAGCCTTGCAGGTCGTTGAGTCAGTGCAATCTGGTTGGCTGGAAGTGGACTTTTTGCAATCTCGTTTACAGGAGTCAGCACAAGGCAGGCGGGAGCAGACTGGACGGTAAGACAGTGAAGTGACACAGGCTGGTCGGCGCAGGATGGGGTGGCATGGGCGGTAGCAGGCAGGGCGATAGGAGATGGATGTCACATATGGCTGCCTGTAAGTAATGTGTCCAGAGCAGATTGGGCGACAGATTGGACGACAGATTGGGCGGTAAGGAACCGAAGGAGAGCAAGGCTGTTTGCAGGAGCTGGGTATGTAGAAAGTCCTAGAGCAAGTTGGCTGGCAGATGGCAGATGCAGAAGA